AATATTCAAACTACTGGTTCAAAATTTTCCGGTTTGGATGTACTTTATGTGAGATTTTACTGAGTCGAAGGCTTTTTTGAAGTCAAAGAAAGGGAGGAACAGTGGAACTTTATACTTATTTGATTTAATTATCAGTTGCAAAATTGAAAGGAAATGGTTTAATTAACGTTGCTTCCTGGGAAACCAGTTCCTCCAAGAGTTTTTGTTTTGCTTGAATAGTAAGTTGGCGTGAGTGCATTCGTGAGAGTCAGAATTGCTACCAGCCCTCTTCTAAATGCCCCTCGGAAGAGAGCTTCATCAACAGTTTAACCTGCGAGTAATTATTGAATATGTTGTGCTACTGTGGGTGGTTCTTTTGATAAGCCCTCATTTGCTTTAACAGCAAAATCTAAGCAAACAGAATGCCTTAAAATTGACGAAAACAAGCCAAATTATGGCCAAAATATATCAATTTTGGGGTGATGGAGAGGAGCTAGTTTGCAGGTCTTGGGCGCGGATATTGGAGATAGGGGAGGGGATTAGTAGGGTGGATTGAGCAGTTAAGTGGCGTGGCCACGTAGGGAAGAGGGGGAAGGGGTGATAGGTGGAAAGGAGGAGGAACCGTGCTGCTAGTTTTTGCTGCTGTTCACATAAAAGTCCAGATGGTAAAAGGAGTGAAACCGATCATTCTTGACAGTACGAACATATATATGATTCATATGAGGTCAGGGGTAATGGAGAGGGGCTTTGTCTGGGTCTCAAACGCTGCTACTGGAGGTAGGGGAGGGAATTGGAAGGGTAGATTGAGAGGTTACGTGTCGTGGCTACGTAGGAAAGAGGGGGAAGGAGTGATAGGTGGAAAGGAGGAGGAACTGTGCTGCTAGTTTTTGCCGTTGTTCAAATAGAAAATAAAAGTTCATGAGTAAATCTTTTGTTTTTTTTTTTTACCAAGGTGATTGTTACAGCGAAAGAGGCGATGGTAAAAGGAGTGAAGCCAGTCATTATTGACAATACGAACATATATGTGACTCACATGAGGCCATACATCATGCAGGTCCTTTTTTATTACTTAATTTTTCCGAGCAGTATAAATCATGGTACTAATTTCGATACCTTCAAACGTTTGTTGTTTCACAGAGAAGCATAAAGAAGCCCGCCACCCTAACTGACTGATCTCATTTATGGGGTTTTTTTTGATAATTATGCATAAAAAACTCCAATATGATGAGGTAGTGTACGTATATGATGAGGTATTGTATTGGGAATAATTGAAAGAAACGCCATTTCGTAATATTGTTCGTATTATTGTATGATTCATATTATTATTATCGTTATTACTATTATTGTTCATGGCATTGTCCATAATATTATTATTGCATTATTATTGTAATATTATTTTTACATTGTTATTGTTATTGCATTGTTATTATGTCATTTTTACTTTATTATTATTACGTTATTATCTAATTGTGCCATTATTATAATGTTATACTACTATTGTATTATTACGCTATTGTTATATTACACACTATTATTGTATTATATTACTGTTACGCTATTATTATGTTATATACTGTACCATTACTGTACTGTTGTGCCGCTACTATACTGTTTTATTATGCTATTACACTACTATTGTATTATACATTATCATTACGTTGTCCTACTGTTATATTATTGTATTATGTACTATATTATTATACTGCTATTATCATATTTTTGCGCTATTATCATATTGTTATTATATTGCTGTATTATTGTTATTGTGATGGTATTATACTATTACTATAGTCTTATGTTACCATTATAATATTATTACCGTTATACTGTTGTGTTGCCATTATTATATTATTGTTATTATCATCTTTATTATTATTATTGTTGCTGTTATTATTATTGTCGTTGTTATTGCTATTATTATCTTTATTATTATTATCGTTATTATTGCCGTTATTATTATTCATAGTATTGTACCTGTGCAGCTTGCATCTTCCGACTGTTTTTTCGCTTGATGGTCAACCTCTCGGTGATCTTTCCGGTAGGAACCATGCACCTTCATTTTGTGGACCAGACAGCATTTAACAAATCTTTAAACGTGTTTCGAAATATCCTTAGTTTTTGTTTAGCATCGTTTCATCCCTCATATTGCCACTCCTAATAGAAAGGTGTATTGAAATAGGAAAGAGAATCGAAGAGAAAATTCCGAAATGAGAATTAAGAAACGAGTAAAAGTAATAAAATTATTATAATTATCATAAAATTATTATTATAATAATCATAATAAAATTGTTATAATTATTATAGTGATGAAAGTCCTTTGTTGGTTAGAAGATGGATATTTAGTAAGAGAGTTTTTATTTCTTATCCTATAAATCATTCCTGTTGCATTTAATTATGCTTTTTTTTTTTGGTTTTTCAGGCAGTAAAGAATTCATACGAAATATATTTTGTTGAGCCCGAAACGAGCTGGAAAACAAATGCACAACAATGTGCCAGGTACTGATAAACTCATTTATATTCGTATCAGCGCTTCTTATCTTTTCCGGTGAAATGATAGTTTACTTTTTTTTGGGTTTTTTGGGGTTTTTTTCTTTTTTTTTGGTTATTTTTTTTGGTCTTTTTTTTTGTTATTTTTTGGCTTTCTTTGTTATTTTTGGTTTTTTTTTTTTGGTTTTTTTTGGAAAATGCGAAATTCTCTGTGGAAGTTTAGCAGTGCTTTTGCAGACATAACGTGCATTCGGTTGCAAAAGAAAAAATCGAGCAAATGATTGAAAATTTTGAAAA